GACAAAACGATACCGAATCTTTACCCGATACTTATTCACAGATCATTCAATCTCTTTCTCCTTCTTGACTGCTTTCCCTTCCCTATCCTTCTCTTCTCTTCCTACTTTCTCTCCCTTCCACTTTATTCTTTCCTTCTTATTATTTTTTTCCCCCTTCCCTTTCTAGTTTTCCATTTCAACCTTCTTGTCTTTATATGTCGTACTTTATATCTTAGCTTCTTAGAGAGACGATCAATTTCGATTCCAATTGCATTGCCTAATCGATAATACATCATTTCGACACACACATAAGGTATTTATTATAAATTTATTTGTTCTAAACTCATCATACATATACAATGCATGTCGGCAATTTACTCTTTTTTTTCTTATATGCTTGTCTTATAATATCAAAGATAATGTTTGCCTCTTTCTTTTAATTTTGACTTATTATTTACGACTTATTTTGTACTTTTCTTTTTATTGTTTCCGACTCGATTTGTACTTTTCTTATTATTTTTATTTACTTCTATCATTAATTTATTATTACAATTTATACTTGCTAACAGAAATATGTTCGTCCTTATACACACACACGGTTCGGAGGAGCACATTTTTGTCAACTATAATCGTTTGTTTGATTTCCTCTCAATTTGGAGCGAGTTTTATATTTATTCCTCACATAGTTGCCTTCGAGGGCGATACACTTGGTATAGCGATTTTCCAACATTTCGATGCCCTTTCTGTAGTACGAAACGTCCAAGCCTTCGAAATACGCCTCGGTTTCCGCGATGACTTCATTCGATGTGAATCTCTTTTCCTGGAGCCACCGCTTAAGGTTTGGGAACAGATAATAGTTGCTGGGACCAAGTCTGGAGAATACGATGGATGAGCAACCAATTCGAATCGTAATTGGTCCAATTTGACCATCGCTTTCAAGAACGGTGCGTTATCGTGATGGTACAAAACTTTTTTCTTCGCCATATGGGGCCGTTTTTTTCTTTATTTCGTCGTTCAGTTTGTCCAATAACGCTGCATAATACTCTCTAATTGTTCTTCCCTTCTGCAGGTAATCGATGAAGATTATGCCATGCGCATCCCAAAAAACGGAGACCATAACCTTCCCGGCCGAGCGTTGGTCTTTTGGCCGCTTTGGTCGGCTTTCGTGGCTTTTCAGCCACTCTGCAGACTGCCTATTGGACTCAGGCGTATGGTAATGGACATTTCATCCATCGTCACAAAACGTTGAAAAAAGTCCGCTCGATTACGCTGCAACAACGCCAAACCGATCGTTGAATCTCAACGAGCTGCTGTTTTTGGTCGATGGTCAGCAAACGCAGCACCCATCGTACCGATAGCTTTTTCATCTCCAAAATATCGTGCAAAATGTATCCCGCCCGTTCTTTTGAGATGCCCACGGCCTCAGTTAACTCGTGCAACTTCACTTTACGATCACTCAAAACGATTCGATGCACTTGCTTTGCGATTTCCGCATTCGTAGCCTCTTTTGGCCTTCCAGAGCGAGGTGCGTCTTCGATGCTTGTATGACCCATTTTAAATTTACTAAACCACCGATAAACTGTTGTTCTCGAAGAAGCAGTGGGATAACATTTCTGCAACCATTTCAATGATTGTTCAGAAGTTTTTCCCATCAAAAAACAATGTTTCATCAAGATGCGATATTCCTGTTTTTCCATTTTTTTTACGAAGGTGAAAGTAACGCCACTTAAACGACTGTAGCTTGTAAACGAATGAACGAAATGTCATGAAACTTCATACATAAACTAGTGACAGATGAACCTCTCGAAATGAATCATGTTCATTTTCTAGCACCACCTATTAAAAAATCTCGGGACTTTTCAGCCCATGTAGTATATTCATGGCTACTACTGTAAGGGATCTAGTTTTTTTGTGCAAATAGACAGTCTTTATCGACAAAAAAAGATATCATTAATTTATTTACAATTATGTTATAAATCGGAAGATTTTATCTATGTTATAATTCTATTGTTAATTACCATTGTTAATTTATTTGTCACACTAATTTATTTGTCACATTGAAAATGATTCAACTAGGATCAAAACGTTTGTTTTGTTCACCTTCTGATTGTCAAATTATATTTTACGTTTTTAATTTTATTATAGTTTTATTTCAATTTTTTTAACTATTTATACAGTTTGTCAATTTATGTTTTAGGCTCGTAGCCCTTTTTCCTTTTTACTTATTAAAAATAAAGTTTGACCGTATCATTTCCTCGTGTCATTTCATAAACCGTTCACGTTCTTCGGGCTTCATTCGGGAGAATAATATCGCGCGTATATCGGATATCGAACCGATGTACATTTGATTTGCCTTTGTATTAAATAAATAGGGAAAGACGCCTTAACATTACAATGTATCCTTCAGTCCGAAGGCTTTACACATCGCTAAATAATTTATGCTATCTATAAATTTAGTGTTCCCGATCATCACGATAATTTTCGTCCCGTTTAAAATTACCCGCGTAATTTCCGAATTTTCGACTACATATTTCAAAATAAATTGCGCATCGAACGCTTTCGCATTATGCTATAAAATGATTTCTTTGAAACATTTTGTTATTCGCGTTATGAGATTAATAAATTGTTTAACCGAATCATTTCGAAATATAAACTCGCGCACTTCGTACCAACGACATTGCACCGATATATCTTCTATCCCCGTACATATTTCACAAATTTATTGTGCGACACAAAGAGTCGGAACGTAAATTTGTACGTTTTCGACTCCTTCACACTCTCGTCGCGTTTCGAAATCGTAGAGCACGAATGCGACGCGATCTCTTTTGTATTTATAATTTGCTCTACGTTCGGACTCATTCTCACCCCTGCGTGCAGTTTCTTCCTGTACCGTCGTATTACTCGTATCTTCCCCCGGATTCTCGGTAACGACTTTACATCGAAGAGGGTGCATAAAGCAAAAATGATTCGAAGGTCGCTGCGATCAGCAAATTTTGCAATATGCTGTCTCGCATTTTTCGACTTTGACTTTACGAATCGCCCGCAATTATTACAAATTTTTACCGATTCGCAAACGTTTGCAGGAAATTGATTGTTGTAGGATCTTTCCGCGCAATGAAAAACATGAAGTATCATTACATGTTTCGTACCTAATTAGGCCCGCGTCGGGAGATTCGCACGATGGAGTGGCGTAACAGCGTGGGCATTTTTTCGTGCAGCAGTGACCTCTATCTTTACAACAGTCCATGTTACACGCGACGCAATATCCTCTGCGAGAGCCAGCAGCGGCTTTTACATTTAATATCATGAATTATAATGACGCCTATGTTCGTAACATTATATTTATATAATCTAATAGAGGGCTCACGTCCTAGAGAGATAAATAACGCGCAACTGTCAAATAGCGGATTTTCATCGCGTCCAAAAGTACTGAAATTGTATACCATTATAGCAATATTTTCGGCAGCAAGATACCGGTGAAAACGCTCGATTTCGCGAATTCCGCATCCCTCCTCGGAAATTGTGACTCCAGCGTTCCTCATTAATTCTCTCGCTAATTCGGATTGTAACAAAAAACTCTGTCGTCTTATAAAATTGCATTTTTCATGGAGTTCACCCGTACGTAGATTTTCACGTTCGCAATGCACTCGCGCCACTACAAAAGAACGTGAAAAATATAAATTATCCGAATTATTTAATTGCAAAATCGAACGTTTTGCTACGTCTTCGCACGTTAAACGATTCGACTTGCGGCCACGACCTGCAGGTGCCACAATATTGAAAACACACATACGTTGAAATTTTCCGTAATATCGATTCCGCCGGCACTTTGAGTTACCGAACTTACAAGTCCCCATACTATATATCCTCAGAAGTTAAGTCACGTACTGGACGAAGTGATAGTTCGGACCATGCACTAGATTCGCCGAATCCAACGATATCCTTACGTAATCGCCTGGTTCGGACAAACGTATCGCATACGCGTAGATTTCGCGGAACGCGAACGATATTCGCACCTTCGGGTATTGACCATATCACGAAACTTGCCTCTCTTCCGAGAATGCCGAAATTTCTGAAACGTCGCGAGTTTTCCGCCCGTAACTTTAAGAAATTAAATTGTTCGCCAACCTCGTGTCGATGATGCTGTTACTGATGGCGATGATGACATTGTTGCTGCTGTTGCTGCAGATATTGATAATGATGATGATGATGCTCCTCGTTGTCAATAGGATTCTCCTCTCTTTCGTTTATTAAATCGGCGTCATCTCCGTCGGCGCCACCGATTTATACTGAAAAATTAAGCAAATCTTATTATACATTGATATCGATAAAACAAATTATGCTAAAATATTGTGTCAGATTGTGATGATTTGAAACCACGAAAATTTTATAGTTACAATATTAATATATATCATATATAATTGTAATAAGTAAATATCACGCATAAATTTTTTGTTACATTCGAAGTAGTGACTATGTTTAGTATACTAAAGTAATTCACCTTTAGTTGCTTTGTTCACTCGCGTAAAAATCTCCGGAAAATCGATACGATTGATTTGCATTCAAGCGGCGTATATGAAATATCTAATAAAAAATTCGTACATGACAAATACATTACGAGAAAAATATATAAAAAATTTAGTGAAATATTATTACTTTCAACATCAGTATAGCATAGTATCTAGAGCATAGTATCTAGTTTCCTCCTCATTCTCCTCTTCCTCCTCTTCCATCCTCATCATTCTTCTCCTCCTCTTCTTCTCTTTCATTCGCGTCTTTTTCCCCCTCCAAAGCTTCTTGTGTCTCTTCTATCTCCGTGATATTGATGGATTCCATCACCGAAATTTCGCTATTGTTATCCATTTCCCCCTCCTCTTCTTTCTCTTCTTTCTCCTCTAAAACTTCCTCCTCCTCCTCCTCCTTCTCTTCTTCCTCCTTCTCCTATTCTTTTTCATTTTCACGCGCTAAAAAGTAACATTTCGTTATCTTTTACATAAACTTACTGTGGATTTTCGCTAACTTTTTAAAACTTACGTCGTGCTAGAATAAGGGGACTCCACAATATATGCATGGGCAGAATTGCGATTCATCTAAAACACAATGATATTTTTACATTAGTATTATTATACTTATTTATTATTTGATTATTATTATTCTATCCTTACAAGAACTGGTTTTATAGAGAGAAATATTTAAAAAATCCAACTTACCAGATGATAATAGAACCACGGGGATGTTGCGCTCATTACGGATATAATCCCGTACGGCCTCAATTTGTGCTTTTCCTAGAAAATTAAATATTTTTAGTAGACTATCTAATTCAATTTGTAATTTAATTTCTAATTAATTTTCTTTATTTTTCAACTTACGTGATACGACTTCATTAATCGCTTGTTCGGCTGGACGTCGTCGTCTCAAACTAAGGCCTAACGGATGTCCCCCATGATGCGAAATTGCCCAGTCTACAATACAGTTCGAAACTATGAAACAAATGTTGGAACCTAATGAAGCGAATTTTTAATAAACTTTTCTTTGATTTATTTTAAAAAATATATTGTTATTGTTTACCTCCAGCGCGACGCTTGAAGTCAGTTATGTAACCTCCATCGTCTTCTTCATGATTAAAGCATTCACATACTTCTAAATGATGCGAGATTATTTCCATCAATCTCGCATCGCCACCATAATGCCCCAGCTTGTGCATAATGTACAACAATGTATTGGAGCACTCACCTGCAAAACATCTGAAGACTAAATAATTCTCCTCGTCGTTTTCTGATAACTTTGTCAGATAATCAATTGCAATTAACTTCTGATTCAAGTTGCAGACAACGATAAAAAATTTTGCAAGCGATTCGTGAAGTGCCATTTTTATCGTTTACAAAACTATTGATTTTATAATTTTACAACGAAAATCAACTCTTGACATAGAAAATGTAAGACTAATCCTTAACTCAATCGATACGCGCTATTTATACGCTAGTGATATTCACGAAAATTCCTAAAGAAGGACGAATCAATAAAAATTTCTAATCACGCTATATATAAGTAGATTTTGACAATTTTTCCGATTGGTTTCTTTCCTTTTACACGTAGAGATTTTCTCGAAAAATTTTCAGAGTGGGAGATGATAAAAATTCTCTAGTTACGAACAAACCTTGACAACATAAAATTAATTCCCTTCTTCGCATATGAGCATCACTCCCACTATCGCTCGTCTTAGGAAATCCCTTTCCTCTCACTTTCCTTATTATCTCGGAAAAGTTTTTGTCGCATGCTTTTTCTTACTATGGTATTCTTATTGTCAGAGTAACTCAAATTTAACCTTTCCTATTTTTTGCCGTTTTTTAGAAAAAAACAAATTCTCACATACTATTAGTCTACGACAAGCAAAAATGAACTTTTTCAATGAAGAAAAAAACGGAATTTCATTCTTATATCACGTAGCGTTTGATTTTTGTTAGATTTCTTTTCACGTAAGAAAGAAATATATGAACTCACTGAACATAACTTTCGTCAGTTAAATTTTTTTCTTGACTCTCGTTATATAACTGAGACTTAATTTTTTATGCTATATAAAAAGTTTATGACGGTTGACAAATAATTTTCCTCAGGGACAACGTTTCCCTTTCCTTAAAAAAGAATTTTTTTAAACATTAAGATTGTTTTTTTGCTCAGATTAACTTTCATGCGTATTCTTAGTTCCAGTCGTGCTAGTGAGAAATATTTCTAAAATTTATGAAATATAAATTCGACATTAGAATATTTCCTTTACTTTGATGAATTATTTTCAAATATTGGATCATCTAAAAAATATCCGCGGTTTTTTGTCACTAGATGGGGTTGACCATCAATACCATCTAGTGACAAAAAACCGCGGATATTTTTTAGATGAAATATACAGGGTGGGCCATCTATTGGTACGTTTTTAAAAATGCGATCAAATGAGCATACATTGATATTTTTTATTAATTTTTTTTTTGTTGTGAAGCTAAAAGTATCCGCGTCAAGAATGAAAAACGATTTCGTTCATGTGGCTCCCTCTACTGGCCTTACAGTATGCCATTCGGTCACCCCAATTATTAATGACATTTTGGACTACCTCGGCGCCAATTTCACTCAAAACAGTCGTAATATAATGTCATCCACTAACATCCCTTTCTCACGAACTTTCCTCACCAATTTGCGTATAGCTCCTTCGGTGGGTGCTCTATCACGACCCATATTTCTTTTCAAAATTCGTACAGTTTCGGCGACACAGCACTGACTTTGAAAATAAGTTTTTAAAATTTCAAAACGCTCTTCAAGAGAAAACATGTTGTTTCGTGCCGCGGACGGTATGACTAATAAACTGTCAAAATTTCGGGTCTGTAGCTCGTTCGGTGTTGCCATACGACGAAATTCAAAAACGTACCAATAGATGGCCCACCCTGTAATAGTACTTTATGTTCGCGTAATTTTGACAATTTATTCGATTTTTTTACGAATTCGAACATATTTGTGACATGAAATATTTCGTTATACATCTTCGAAAAAATTCTTTCTGAAAAAGTAGCTGCGTCACATAACAGCGTAGCAAGATTCTTCTAGAAAAGTAACAATTTAAACAAATATTCTGTGCGCGCAGATTTTCGTTAGTTTTAGAAAAGCATATATAAAAGCGCAAACCGCTTCACATAATATGTTCATTACGATACTTTAGTCGCGTCTCGTTGTTCGAAGAGTCTACTTCGAAATCAGTCCTCTTCCTTTATTTGTGTGAGACACATTCATCCAAAGTTTTCACGCGAAGCAACATGGCTGAAAGACAAGAAATTGGAAATCACTTTGTACCTAATAGTCCTCATGTGATAAACAATATTACCGAACGAAATGAGCAATATTTGCTGCTCTCTATGATGTACCCGCTCAACTCCTCTTATATGAAGAAATTACATATGGGATTACAAAGGAGAGAACCTTCGAGCCTATTGTCAAATTGACTGGTAATTATACAAAAGGAATCAACTTTGATTCCAATGCGTGGAAACAATTTTAAGAGAATATGGAACTCATGAGCACATACCTAAATGGAAGTAGCACAATCAAAGTAAATCCTGTCTCATTCGCAAACATATTTGTCAGCTTCACCTCCGTCTATGGTGCGAAAGCTATACTGGTGACGCGCAAGGAAGATGAAAATTTTCCAAAGGAGACGTCATCCGCAAGTACGCAAGCAGAATCAACACAACCACCGATGAAGAAAAGAAAATCTTACTCTGTCGCGAGTGTAATACAGCAAGCTACATTTCAAGGAATGGAGAGAATAATCAAATGTGTCGATGCGCATGTAAAGCAACTGACGTCTATCGACAATGTTAACGAATGCGCCCGATATTTGATTAAGGAGAGCTGCTTCTAATTCCTACATCGACAGCAAAATCATCAAACTTCATCATTTTCGCGGTCAAAGAAGATATTGAACGCTGCGTGAGAACACAAATAAAAAATTTGTCATTTTTGGAAACATACTTTAATATATTGTTTTTAGAAATAACTGAATTAAAATTCAACGAAATTGTTAACATAATTTTAATAAATCGAAGATTATGACTTTTATAATATAATTTTTCATGTGATATAATTCATTTATCGATGTAATAACTCTTTTATCAATAAATAAAATGTTTGTATCTTAAATTCTCGACTATTTCACATTCCAAATTTCAGGCTTAAATAATGTAGATTTTTATCATATTTAAATAAAAATATCTCCGGCATAAAGTACAGAAGAAGATTTATTCTCTAAAAACAAGTAAATTATCACGCCGATTACGACGACATACCAGCACGAACTTGTTCATTACTGTTTTACCTCCCCTTTCTTCCTAGTGAAAGCAAGAGTCTCCCGAAAATTCTCGTAAAAATCCTTGACATAAGTAATAAGAAAAAAACCCTTTCGCTAAAACGTCAGTATGCCGGAGACGGTCATATTTGAGCCGCTGCAGCAAAAAATGACCTACAGAACAAAAAACTGTGTGCTATTCATATCCGCGGCCCGCATCTTTCCCCTCCCCCGTAACGAAAAAATATCTCGGTCCCGATTTTCCTCGGTGTCACGGTATTCATCCCTGCCGACATCTCCACTTTTCTCCGTCACCGCATGGACGACTATAAACAGAACCAATCAGCGCGTGGGCAGCCATGATCCGAGCCAATCAAAATGCACCTTTTAATTACCTTATTATCCATACTCTCGCGTATTAATCGCAGAGTGCGCCATTTTACAGACAGGCCACGCCCCTGGCGCCGGAGGTGGAGTGATGGGGATTTGTTTTGACGGTCCAAGGCTGTCCATATACTACTAGTGAAGTTATATTTTGCTTTTTCAGACTTCTTTTACTGTATATATTTCCATTATCGATATACACTGTATATATTTCCATTATTGATATACACTACTAAGCAAAATTAAAGCATCACATGTTCCACCCTGCAGAAATAGGCAAATTTCGAGAAAGAATAACTTCGTCAAAAATTATCCAGATTTTTAAAAAAGCGTTTTGAAATCTATACTTTTTTTAGATCGATGCTTCAAAAAACGGTACTACTGATATTTCATAAAATTACACAAACATAAATAAAGACGCATCAGATCTTAAAAATTTTTTATGAAATTTGTGAAATTGCACGAATTAAAAATTGTGCACAAATTACACATGTTTTCAAAAGAATGAATCTTTACCTTTAATTTTTTTTTATAGACCTCTGTACGATTTTTTTTCATCGAGTTATTCAACATTGAAGCAAAAAGAGTTATTTCGAAATTAAAAATAAAGATTCACTCTCTCAATTGGTGTAAACCAAATTTTTGTGTGAATTTTATCTCACATAGTGAGTCGCCATAGACTTTTGTAAAATTTGTAGAAAATTTTCACATATGAGGTATCCATTTGTGTCCGTATAGCTTCATAAAGGATCAGTCAGATTAAAATATCAATTACCAATTTCGAAAGTAAAGATTTTAAATTTTAAAATACTTTTTTAAACATCTCGATACGGTGATTTTTTGATGAAATTACTTTAGCTTAAAATTTGCCTGCTGCTTCTCAAAAGTCATTTAAAATCAGTGTTAAAAATGAAAAATTTCACATATCTCTGCGGAAAATGGTCGCGATATTCGAAAAAGCATTTTACATAAGAGATGTGTTACTTGATGTAGATTGAGTATTAATATCAACTCCGTGAGCTATCAGCAACGACATGATATTTACATACCTAGTACTTACTCTCAGAAATGATAATGAAATCTACATCGAATCGACATCGATTCCATTATCATTTCTGACTGGGCTGCTTTCATTAAAGGCTTCCATTACGATCGTTTTTAATTATAAGCCTCAATATCAGCTCCCCAATCTACGTACAACTTCTTCGTGTCCATTAACATATTCATACATGAGAGATGTATTATTTGATGTAGACTGAGTATTAACATCAACTCCGTGAGCAATCAGCAGAAATACAATATCTACATACCCGGCGCTTGCTGCTTTCATTGAAGGAGTATGACTGTCTTCATTGTGATCTTCAACATCAGCTTCTGAGTTTAATAAGATATGTAGAATTTCTTCGTGTCCACCGGCGCATCCATATATGAGAGCTGTGTTACACGATGCAGATCGAGTATTAATCGGTCCCGTGAGTAATCAAGCATATGATATCCTGCACTAGCAGTTTCCATTAAAGGGGTGCGAATGCCATCAAAGTCCATCTTGATATCGCAATCTTCTATATTGTAGCGTATCCATTGTAGCGTTTATCA